GATAATTTACAGTTAGATTAGGTTTGGGTAGATTAAAAAAATAATAATAATAAATTGGTCACTCAATCCACGACTGTTTGTGGGACACTGCTGTGTGCAATTGGCTGCCGTGTTTCACCCACAATTCACTTTATAGTATATCCTGTGAAGCACTTTGAGACGTCTCGAAGATGTAATAAGGCACTATATTAAATGCAAGGATTATTATTATTATTAGGTTAAGTAGTATAGGTTAAATTTGTGATTCTTCATAACAGATTCAAAGTGATAATTATCACATTGAATCCATATGAAATGCCATAAATTTGCAAATTTCACCCCGTATTGGATTAGGCATAAGCATGAATTAGGCTGCCATATTTCGCCCACAAAACACACAGTCATTTCACTTTACAGTATATTCTGTGAAGCGCTTTGAGATGTCTCGAAGACATAATAAGGCACTAAATCAAATGCAAAGATTATTATTATTACAATAAATACAGAAATAAATGTGGCTGGGATATTGACAGCGTGTTGACTTAAGTGGTAGTGACAAGTTAAGTCGAGAGCTCAGGGTCTAAATAGATATATTCCCACAAAAGGGAAATGTGCGAGAACCAAGCCGGCCTGGATGACCAGGGATATTCTGTCTAGGATGAAAAAGAAGAAGATGGCGTACGACATTTGGCAGATGCAAGACACTGAGGATAGCAAAGCGCATTATAGAGAATGCAGGAGTGATCTTAAAAGAGCGATAAGACAGGCAAAAAGATCGCATGAGAAGAGGTTAGCGGGTAACATAAAGGGGAATCCTAAAATATTTTATAAGCACATAAAGGAAAAAAGGTTAGTTAAAGGTAGGGTGGGGCCAATCAAAGACAATGATGGCCATCTTGTTGTGGAGGCAGAGGGACGGTTGATGTACTGAACGAGTACTTTGCATCTGTCTTCACAACGGAAGCGGATGCCCAAAATGCCACAGTATTGGATGAGAGGGTAGAGGACATAGATCAGATTACTATAGACAGAGAGGAAGTTCTGAAAAGATTGACTGGGCTCAAAATTGATAAGTCACCAGGACCAGATGGGTTTCACCCAAGGTTGCTGTGGGAGATACGGGTTCAAATAGCGGAGGCTTTGGCCATTATATTTCAATCGTCATTGGACACAGGAGTGGTGCCAAGAGACTGGAGAGTGGCTAATGTTACCCCACTCTACAAAAAGGGGCAGAAAGACAAGCCCGGAAATTACAGGCCAGTCAGCCTAACTTCGGTAATAGGAAAGCTACTGGAGACCGTAATCCGGGACAAAATAAATCTCTACTTAGAGGAACACGAGGTAATTAGAGACAGCCAACATGGATTTGTTAAAGGCAAATCTTGCCTAACAAATCTAATAGAATTTTTTGAAGAGGTGACTGCGAGGGTTGATGAGGGAAATGCGGTGGACGTTATTTACATGGATTTTAAAAAGGCTTTTGACACAGTACCGCATAAGAGGTTAATAAAAAAACTGGAGGCCCACAGTATTAAGGGGACAGTAGCCGTTTGGATTAGGAACTGACTGAGTGACAGAAAGCAGAGGGTGGTGGTTAATGGGTGTTTCTCGCAATGGAAGGAGGTGTGCAGCGGTGTCCCCCAGGGATCGGTATTGGGACCACTGCTCTTTCTAATATATATTAATGATCTGGACTTGGGCATAGGGAGCACTATTTCCAAGTTTGCAGATGATACCAAGTTAGGTCGGGTAGTAAATAGTGAAGAAGATTGTGACGGACTGCAGGCAGACATACACAGAATGGTGGAATGGGCTGACATGTGGCAGATGGATTTCAATGTAGATAAGTGTGAGGTGATACACTTAGGTAGGAAAAATGATAGGAGGCAATATAGACTTGGAGCTCAATCTTAAGGGGGTGAACGTACAGAGAGATCTGGGCGTTCAAGTAAGCGATTCATTGAAGGTGGCAGAGCAGGTAGATAGGGCAGTAAAAAGGGCATTTGGTGTACTGAGCTTCATTAGTAGGGGCATAGAGTATAAGAGTAGGGGTTATGGTTAATCTGTACAAAACACTGGTTAGGCCTCAGCTGGAGTACTGCGTCCAGTTCTGGGCACCTTACCTCAGGAAGGACATTAAGGCACTGGAAAGGGTGCAGAGGAGATTCACGAGAATGATACCAGGAATGGGGAACCTTAGCTATGAGGACAGGCTGGAAAAGTTAGGACTTTTCCCATTAGAGCAGAGAAGGTTATGCGGGGACCTGATAGAGGTCTTCAAGATCATGAAAGGTTTCGACAGGCGAGATAGGGAAAAGCTGTTTCCGCTGGTAGGTGTGTCTGTGACTCGTGGTCACAGTCTTAAGATATCTACCAAAAGAAGCAGAGGGGAGGTTAGAAGAAATGTTTTCACTCAGCGAGTTGTTAGAATTTGGAATGATCCGCCCGAAAGGGCAGTGAAGTCCGATTCGATAACAGCTTTTAAGAGAGAACTGGACAGGTATCGGGGAAGACGGGTTTGTGGGGTTATGGGGAGAAAGCTGGTGAGTGGGGTTAGTGAAAGTCAGTTGCTCTGTCAAAGAGCCGTACAGACTCGATGGGCCGAATGGCCTCCTTCTGTGTCGTAACATACTATGATTCTATGATTCTATGATAAGTCAGGGTCCAGTTATCAAGAGTTTAGTCACTCAGTGAAGTTCTGCCTGCAGATTTGAGGGGAGATTGTTTTTTCTTTCTTTCGAGAACGTTTAGAAAACCGTTAAACTTTTTCTGTTGTCATCATTTTGACATTCAGGGTAATTTCTGAACAACACGGTTTGAAAAAAAATCCTGAGGTTGAGTAATTTTATTCACCAGATGTGGGCAGGACTCTCGTTTATATACCAGTCGAAAGATAAAAAATAGCAGAGGTCAAATTTCAAAGGCTCTGACATTTCCATAAAAAAAATAAAATGTGGTAATACTGCACTTGTATGCAACACGTCAGAAATATTATTTATTATGTGGTGGAGGGGGAGAGGTGGCGGTAGAAAAAACCTCAAAGCTCTATCTTCTGGTCTGAAAAAAACATTTCAATCTAGTGAAAAGGACATATTTTCATGCTCAGCAGAAAAAAGAAAAGAAAAACATAGCAAACAAAAATGCTTTAAAATGTGCTTGTTAAATCCACGCAATTGTTTGTGCCCTTGCACGTTAATAATTCTCTTGGGGACAAATGAGTATTAAGGAATTAAAAATCTTTTCTTCTCCCCCTCCCCCCACCCCTACTCCCATTCAACTAACCAAAAGTGATCGTATGATATTGTGAGCGAGGGGAGGGCTGTGTGTGTGTGTGCGTGTGGAAAAATATGTGATCAAAGTTGTTCTACGTTATTTTAAAGTGACACGGGGCTATTTCGAATTTGCAATAAAAAACTTTGCCGGGGATAGAGACAGAAAGACAGAAAAGCCGTGGCATTTCGCAATAAGCATTTGCTGCAGATTTTTTTTTTATTTGTGTCTGTGACAGCTCTCCAGTTGTCTGATGTAATTTTCCCAAAATTAAGTGTGGCATTTGGATACCCAGTTGCTGCCCTGGGACAGGTGGAAAGGACAGCTCGTTTTTTTTTCCTAATACCATTTTGAAAGTGACTCACACACACGACATGTGCTTCCGAGAAGATCTCTTTAAAGAGACAGAGTGTCCTTTTGTCAGTCGGTCAGGATTCCCCAAAAATGAGATCTCTCTGCTGTTATCTCTTTCTTTGCTTCCCTTCTGCACAGCTGTTCGTTCCTCTGTGTTTCTTCGTGTGTTTATTTAACGCCCCGATTGTATTGCTGGAGGAGGATTAGAGCTTTGGGATCTCTGCGGCTTTAGTATGGCATTTGAACTTATTTGGTCTAGGCTGGCGCTCCAGTGCGGAGTTGGGGGGTGGATGGTGGGTTGGGAGTAGGGGGGAAAGTGCTGCATAGGCAGAGGTGCCGTCCTTCAAATGAGACATTAAACTGAGATCTCGTCTGTCTGTGGACGTTAAAGATCCCCTGAGAAGGGAGTTAGTTTCTGGCCAACAATCCTTCAAATAAAATTGGGCGTTCACTTAACGATTGTTTGTGGAACGTTACTGTGCGAAAACTGGAATCCAAGTCACACAAATGGGTGGTGGGGGGTGGAGGGGAGTGGGGGAAGGTGTTCATGTTATGGAATCTCTGCCCTGATGTGGTCTATTCCAGCATCCTAGCATAATTAGACCCCCCACACAAACCACACACACACACACACACACACCCCACATACGTTCTAAGACAGAAACATTAGATTGACGACGACACCAATTGACAGTATGAAAAGGTTCAAGTTAAACCTCAACGACATGATAAGGCGCTGCATCAAATGCAAGGATTATTATTGTTATTAACGTTAACCTGTGGAATCTAGTTGTAGTACGGTAGACTATTGTCCTGTAATTTTCCTCCACTGTATCAACAAGACCAGATCTTGTTTAATACCCCATGCTCGTCCAGAAATAAAATACAATAAGATGACCTTAACGGTGGTGGAGGGGGCTACACTGTGTAACAGCCTGGCTGTTTTTGCTGAGACGTTAGCGTGCTTGTGTTCGCATTGATGCAGAGTGCATGTGACTTGAGAGCTATAAATTCAGAATCCAATATGATTTCAATGTTGTGCTGGTTTATAGCTCCAGCTGAAGCAGTAAGGAAAGATACTGCCAGTTTCACCTCTCCTTCCACTAAATGACCTTTACACTTGTGTTAATAAAGGCTGGGAACGATTAATTGACCATTCATCGACTACAGCTGTTGTTGATTAAAATTTTTATGGGTGACTTGCTGAAAACTAATGGTTACCTCGCTCGCGAGAAAGCTCTACGGTTTCCCACACCATTTTCACACACAGATCAGCCTCTCTCTTTCTCTCTGTTTCTCTCTATCACTCTCACTCCCTCTTCTTTTTATTCATTCTTTCAAAAAACAAAAACAAATGCTGACGAAAATTCAAATTGCTCTCGCAAAAAGCTGGGGAGATGGTCTGTCCGTCGGAGGACGAAAGGGAGAAGGGGGAATGGGAACAAGAGGGGGAATGTAAGGGAGAGGTAAGGAAATCAACGACCAACGCACACTGGGAATAAGACTGAGCCTGATAGATCCAGGAGCTATTCTGGGCTGTGTGGAATGTGACCGTAGTGTGATAGCCACGTACTTTTAGTTGCGCTGTTGGCAACGTTCCACTCCACATTGATTTCAATACAGACAGATGCCCAATGTCACCGGGCAGGTCTGCATCCTGTGTCATTGAGTCCAGGAGCCAAGGCCTCCTGTTCCATCTCCACAGCAACAACAACAGCAACATGCAGTTACACAGCGCCGCTCAAACAGGGTACCATCCCAGAGCACTTGACAATGGCGGGGCAATATCCGAGCCGGGGTGGGGGGAGAGAGGGGTGAACTGACCGCAGCCACGGTCGAAGAGGAAGGTCTTCGGGGGCGACCCGAAGATGGGGAAGGAGGGGGCAAGGCGGAGGGATTGAGGAAAAGCGTTCCAGAGTTTTGGGGCGTAGTGGCTGATAGCTTGGCCACGGACGGTGGAACGGAGGGCACGAGGGACTTGACATAACACATATCGGTACCAGGAGAGATCAGGAAATCAAACTACTTTGACCAAGCACTGAAACTGACAAAACAAATTGCAATTTGCGTGGAGTTCAATTAAGGCTTAATTTGTTTTATTTGGTCTGATACATACAGGAACCCATCACCACGCTGAAGAGTATCCAAACCAAGCTGGGAATTGAGTTTGAGGGAGCTGAGGGTGGGAGCTCGGGGAGTTGAGGAAGGGAAACGACGACCAAAAATGTGAACGCTGCAGCCAATTGCACACAGCAGCGTCCCACAAACAGTCGTGGATTGATTGATCAAATTATTATTTGATTACAATTTTTTTAAAGAGGTTATTATCCCCAGAAACGCGATCCGCCAATCGACTAATAATCGGGTTCCTACTTAACTGCTAAGAATCCAGAGGCATGTGGCGTAAGGAAACTTTGCCCTGCTCGGGAATCGAACTCAGGCCCTCTCGCTCGCTCCACAAGCCCGTGATATGAGCAGGAATATTGTAAAACCGATTCCCCTGGTAACTTTTTTTAACCCTTTTGAGCGGAGATTCTAAGATTGCCCCTCCCACGCTCCCGATCCCTCAAAACAGCGCAGAAATTTGTCCTGCGTAAGATCATCACCATGAATATTATGAAGGAGGAAGCAAATATTCACAGGAACACTCAAGAGCCTTGTTTTATTAATGGCGGCCTATCAATAAACCTAAAAGTGCTAACCTTGTCATATTTAGCAGCTTAGTGCTGGAATGCTTTCATTACTCAGAGGGTGAAAGTGCTTGAACATCCATTATCGTTTCCTGCCTTCCTCCCTATCTTGGGCAATTCTGCCTCTTTTATGTATTTAGCCCTTCGAGTACTCGAACAACCTCTCTGAACTCGGCAATTAATAACAGCAAGGAGTTGGGGTTTTTTTTCAGTGTTATTGACGGCCAGCCTTTGACGAAACTTACACTTCGAATCCGGTCCCGTTTATTCCATTGCCCGACCGCACCACGGTTCTTCGCGGTTGGGTTTGGCGAGGGAGCCCGCACACAGTCGTGTTGCCGTCAGCACCGAGTTCCAAACAAAGGCAACAGCAACAGCAGCAACAACTTGCATTTACACCACGCGCCTCACGCACGGAGATAGCGGGCCAGTGCGCTTGATGGTGGCGGAGCTGGACGCTGAGTCGGGGAAGGAGAGAGGAGGTGATTGTAGGCACGTTCTTAGAGGAAGGTCTTCAGGCGCAACCTGAAGATAGCGAAAGAGGGAGTAAGATGCAGGGATTGAGGGAGAGTGAACCAAGCAGAGAGAGAGAGAGATCACCGTCAACGCTTAGTCTGATACTGCAGTCAGTATTTTTGTCTCCTCTGCCTGAGCCTAATTGAAATCATTCAGGCGGAACAAACACCATTCATTTTGTGTCTCAGAAAAAACAAAATTGTTGACTTTCCAAGTGTCATCACAGTTTTCCAATCTTTCTTATCTCAGCCGTAACCATTCATGTCCGCTTCCTGGTAGTGGGGGGGGCAAGCCAGTGGGAATCTTCCCGGACGCCATCTTTACAGTTCAGGAATCGGGTTGCAAGGAACCTGGAGTAACGGGCGAAGAGGGAGGAAGGCAGGGAAGGGGGAAAGGAAGTCTAACCTCTGTTACGGGAGCGGGTGAGGGGGGGGGGAGCGGGGAAAGAAATTCCACCTGAGTCTAGACTTTAGTTCTTTTAAGAACCTCAGAAAACTGGTTTCAAAAGTAAGACTGAATTTCTAGGGCATTGGGGGGGGCAGGAGGGGGGGGAGTGAGCAGGACAGAGGGATTGCCAACGTGGAGACAAACAGCAGGCCAGCGCAGTAACATGCTACAGTGACTTAGAGACAGACGATCCCAGGACTTGACCCCGTCCAAAGTTGTTGATGTACTGTACAACGTTTAAAGAGCAACACAGGTTTAGAGTTGCAAAGGGTTGATGTCAGGACACTCACCAGGAAGTCTTTCTTTATCATAAGAACATCGGATTATAGGAACAGGAGGAGGCCATTCAGCCCCTCGAGTCTGTTCCTCTGTTCTATAAGATCATGGCTGATCTGTACCTTAACTCCGATTACTCGCCTTTGCCCCATATGCCTTGTTATCCAGAGGGAATCAACAACTGGAACAGGGTTACCAGGAAGGGTGGTTGAGGCCAGGCCACTGGAACTCATTTGAAAAAACAGCTTGATGGGGCTTTGGGGTGGTGGGGATCAGGCAATTGTTCTAGAGGGATGAGATCAGGTGGGCCGAAGGGTCTTCTTCATCCAAACCGATCCATTTACCCACATACTTTCGCCCATTCAGTATACAGTCAATTCACTGTACAGTATATTCTGTGCAGTGCTTTGAGGCATCTCAAAGACATGATAAGGCACTACATCAAATGCAAGGATTTTTATTCCTAATTTTAAAAATAATGTGAAGTTGAGAGTTTCAAAGCAAGGAATTTGGACTCAGAGAGAGATCGTTTCTAACTAGCTGGCTGGCATCTCAGTATTGGGACTGGTACCTTGTAATGCCAGTGTAATTAGCAGTATCAATCTGGACTGGTTTTTTGTGTTCAAATGCTTTACTCTCTCATGCCACGTTTAACTACAAAGCAAGCCAAGGTTTTTCATGGAAAAGACACTCCATTGCAATCAGCCAGCAGGTTTGATATGATTCTGGAAAAGCAAGTCTGCCCGCTTATTTAACGAGATGTCTGTCAATGATTTCTTTCTCGAAAGTTATCTCGCCTGTTGGTTGCTTTTCGACCGAGTCAGAAACACCCGAAAGAAACAAACAGTCCAATACCTGTTTGAGCGACTGTTTACCGTTGGGAGAGAGGGAGAGAGAGAGAAAAGAAACCAGAATAGAAAAGGAAATAGTTTTTCTCCTCCCTGTTTTAGTCATCCCTGTAAACTGAAACTCTCTTTTAACAAGTGGTTTCCTGTTAAATACCAACAGAAAGGTTTTGGTTATTTTCTTAAAAGGAGCTTACTGTCTCCACATTGTTTCAACAAAGTTATGGTAAGTAATACACATTATTTGCATTCACCCACCTTCCCCACTACTTGCTACTCCCTCCCCTCTGCTCTCCTTTTCTTTCATAAGACTCTTTATGATGTTTTATCAGTTAACAACTCACTGAAGGATAATCTGTAACTCACTCTGTAAGTTTTTTTTATATAGTGTTTTGAAGTTTACCAAGCAGTAAGTAGGAACCTTAGTTGTAAGTCAATTAGCGGATCGCTTTCCAGGTGTAATAATCTCTACCCCCAAATAAAAACGTCGTCACTTAAAACGTTTGTGGGACACTCCTGGGCGGAATTGGCTCCCGGGTTTTGCGCACTAAATCCACCATCAATCCACTTTACAATACATCCCGTGAAGCGCTTTGAGACAACGTAATAAGGAGCTGTATTAAATGCCAGGATTATTATAATTATTATAATAAAATTATTTTCTCCCTTTCCTCCTCCTCCTCCTCCCTCCCTCCTTCTCCATTGAAAAACCCTCTCAAACAGAAACAGATCTCCACAGCCGATCTGCTTTCCCTTTCAGTTTGTTGTTGGTTACAGCCCAGGTGAACCTTGCGTTCACACCACAACACTTGTCGCCCTAGAATTACACTGTTAGCGACCCAAATAGATCCCAACATTCAATTTTGTGTTGGCTTCCAGTGGTCAAACCCTGGGAGTCTAGTGACATCCTGTTCCTGCATGGCAATCGTAACCGTCATGTGTTAGTCATTTTACGTGCTACTGCTGTTTAATGGCAAGGGGCCAATATTACGGCAACCTTTTTTTTGGTAACTCTCCAGCTTTCCCAATTTGGTTCTCTTCTGTCATGTTTGTTTGGGATAACGTCCATCCATTGGGCATTTGAACACACGAGCAAGATCTAACTCTGCAATTCCCAGGTTAGCAGACAGGAGGCGCACTTCCACAGGACAGTTTCCTGTCTCTCTGTGAGATGGTAATAATAATAATCCTTGAGTTTGATAGAATGCCTTACCATGTATTTGAGACGGCTCAAAGCCCTTTACAGAATATATTGTAAGTGGATTGACTGTATACTTTGTGGGCGAAACGCGGCAGCCAATTGCGCACAGCAGCGTCCCCACAAACAGTTGTGGATTGAGTGACTAATTTTTCAAAATAAAATGTAGCAAACAACAAGGTTCTCTTGACAGTGGTGTGGACACCCCATACACGTTGTTAGTTGTATTTGACCGTGTGTGTTTAAGTGTCAGTCAAAGAGCTCAGAGATCTGTTACTCTACACTTAACAGTGAGTGACTCATGCGAGGTGTTTTGAGACAACAACAACAACTTAAATCATGGAGGGTAGAATCGCAGATGCCCTTCTGACGTGAAGGGAGCTGCATCAAATGCAAAGATTATTATTATTATAAATAATACAGCCCACTGGCAAATATTGCCTTGAAAACCTTGAAAAAGGGGATAAGGCGAGAGAAATTCAGCCCTGATAGGGTTAACGCAAATTACGTAATCATCTGGTCACATTTTCAAGGTGAAAAACAGGTTTTTTTTCATATATAAAAAAATGATCAAACAGCCTCCCATATGTGGGAATAAAGTGTGGGGAGGAGGTAAAAAAAATAGGCAAACACCTTGGTGACTAACAGTAACTCCTTTGTGGTTTGGAGAGTTCCATTCAACGAGTTCTTCCCTTAACAATAAATCTGCAAACTGTCCCTTTAAATATATCCATTCTCATAAAGTTTCGGTCAAGTTCTGTGGGTTTTCTCTCTCTCTCTCTCTCGCGCTCTCTCTCTCCCCAGCTGAAATGAGTGAAATAACACTGATTGCTTTCAACAGCTGCAGTCAGGCGGTGGTGGAATATAATAAATGTTTGCGCAAAAAGTCATGCGAGATTATCTGCTAAACTTATTTTGGGTGAATGCGGTGGATTTACTTTGGGTTCATCCATTGTGCTGACATCACTCTTAACAAGCGAAATTGAATCAGGGGCTAAATTCGTGGCGGGACGCACTTTCCGTTGCTTATTAAGAGGAACGCTCGCAGGAGCGACAGGGAGAGGGGGTTGGGGTGGAGGGCAGGGGAGGGTGGGGATTGAATAATAATAATAACAATAATTATATTAATAATCCTTGCATTTGATATAGCGCCTTATCGCGCCTTCGAGGCGTCTCAAAGTGCTTCACAGAATATACTGTAAAGCGTAGTGGCATCTGGACAATTGGTCGGGGTGGGGGGCGGGGGACAGAGAGAGAGTAAAAAGCGGAATAGATCAAGCTAGCAAAACAAGCGATCTCATCTGCTGTTGATAGCCGTTTTGCTTGCTGGAAACTGACAGCCTTTGTATATGTAAATGAAGAATCTAGACTAATGGAGGTGAACCATTTCTAATTTTGTGATGGAGAGCAGATTTTGATTGAAAGTAATTAAGCGAGCTCGCTGTAAAATTAATTAAAGCAAAAAGGGGAGAGAGAGAGAGAGAGTGTGTGTGTGTGAGAGAGAGAGGGAGTGGGGGGGGTGGGGGTGCGCAATTTTTTTTATTGGATTGCCTGGCAATATGATTTTGTCAGGCGTGTGGGGACAAATGGGGGTGACCTGAATTCCGTGCCCTCCCCTCTCCCCACTCGGGACATTTGTGTCACTTTAATCTCCTTACAGTGGCTGGTGTGCATTTGTTAAGAATAATCAAGGAAATATGGTCAGAAATTGTCAGCTTTCAGATCTAATTTACCTGACAGCCTCATGTGTGGTGGTTCTGCCTAAGCTCTCTGTAAAACGCATCTGACAGGACTCTAGACAGCTTGTACCTTACAGTGATATGAGTGGAGATAAGCTGCTTTCCCCTCGTTCTCTTTTCCGCTCCCACCCCCTCTCTTTATCTCTCTCTCTCTCTCTGTCTGTCTCTCGCGCTCTCTCTCTCTCTCTCCCACCCCCCCGTCTCTATCTCTCTCTCCCTCCCACCCCGTCTCTCTGTCTCACTCTCTCCCATCGCCTCTCTCTATCTCTTTCTCTCTCCCTCTCTCTCTCACCCCCCCCCGCGCCCTCTCTCTCTCTCCCTCTCTCTCTCCCACCCCCCACCCCCACCCCACAATACATTACGCGCTGACTTTCTGTGCTCTTATTATAGAGAATCTGCCAATTCTGGATTTCTCTCATTACACACACGCATGCTCACACACCCATTCTCACACATGAGCACGGGCACTCACGCACACACACATGCACATACATGCACACACACACGGTCTCACATACTTGGTATACACACACACGTGTCTACACGTGCACACACGCACACGTGTAGACACATGTGTAATGGGAGCGAACGCTACAATTTGTTTAATTCCCTGAATAAAAATATTACAACCGGTGTTAAGAATGCCCCTTCCCCCAACCCCCACCTCTCGCTTATGAGGTCTGTGGGAACCTGACGGGGGGAAGGGGGGGAGGGATGTCCTGTGGGGACACCTGGTATCACCATATATAACCAGACAGGACAATCAGGCCCCTCTGCCCTCCCCCCATCCCCCTCCCCAATATAAAAACAAGGGCTGGGTTTTTTAGTTAATGAAAACGCAGCCTTGTCTATAAGATGGGAAAGAAAATATGTACTCACTGCTATGCAAACAAAAATAGGGAGAGATTAATTGTGCAATTTTTCAAACCCTTGATTAAATTATCCTAAGGCACTGCTTGTTCCAGTGCCTTATAGCTGCCCGTAGCTTCCAATGGGCCAATTTCTAGACGTCCTATTGAACAGCCTGAGATAATATTGGTTTTGCTGCTCTCCTGTCAGTCAATATTTTACGTTGATTGTCAGCCATACAAAGGTTGGATCTTCCTTGTCACTGCATCCTTCAGCATTGAATCACTCATCAAAATCAACTGCAGGACATTTCTAGGCTAAGGTTCCTGTTGTATCCCCAGCTGATGATTGGGGTCATGATTTGAAGCGCTTTTCCTCGTGGTCTAAGGGGGGGCTTCAGCCCATTGGGATGATCTCAGGATGGCAACGAGTCTTGAGAATAAGGGGGCAGGGGGTAACCGGCCACTCTGTTTCTCCCCCCACCCTGCCCACACTCTTATTGGCTGAGAACAGAGAACAGAACATTTTGAGAACATTGCAACTGCTGTGCGCGACCAGCCGCACAAAACACGCAGTCAATTCACTTTACAGCATATTCTGTGACGCGCTTTGAGACGTCTCAACAATGTGATAAGGTGCTTTATCAAATGCAAGGATTATACTTATTATTCCCCCCACTCTCCACCCACTTAACACCCCCCGGTCTCCTTCAAAGGGGCAGTGTTGATTGTGATTTTGTCATCGCAGTTTGTTCCCTGGGAACGATTAAAAACCCCAAACGTCCCTTTAATCCATCAAGCCGCCTTGGACTGTTTCTGAACAACAATGGTTATAAATAAACACACGTTAATAGGATTTGAATTTTCCGCTTTCAGTGGAGTGTGGAGCTCAGAGACCTACCTGGCTCTTTTCTCGAAAGTCTAGACTTACTTTTCTCTGTTGAGTGTAAGATTCAGCATTTCTGCATTCCTTCAGAATATTGTACCACGTATAAGAAATGGGAGATGGCAAAAAAAACCTCAGCGTTTCTTAGGGAGGAACTGAAGTCTGGGATTGTTTGATCGACGGCAGAAAATATCCTATTATTTTCCTCTTATCAGTTTCCTTCCCCTCCTTCCCCATCCCCTCCTCTTCTGAACACATTTCTTCCCTTCCATTCATCCTCCCTATACTAGGGTGGCGCTTGCCCCCCACACTCAACCAATCCGGTGTTATTCAAGTGCTCAGGGACGCTATCCCACGTGAAGGGCGCTATATAAATATAAGCTGTTGTTGTTTTTGTGATTCATATCATTATTAAAATTTAAGATTGTGCAAAAGACTGTGAAAAATTCTTGATTTGATTTGCCCCAATTAAGATTTCATATTTCTAGTCCCAAATTCCGCTGATGTTGAAAAGCAACCGTTCCCAAATTAAGAGCAAATTCAAAAGATTTTTTCCAAAATTCTGTACCTCCTGAAATATTACAATGACAAGGCCCAAAGAGGGAAATTTTCAAATCTTTATAGTTAAAGGCCAAACCAATGTTCTTCTCTCGAAATTGGATTACATTTCAACGAAATTCTCACAATTCGGTTGAGGAAACATTGTCTGATAGAGAATGACGTCATGTGTTTGTCAGTATCCGTGAAACAGAACAAGGTCATACTTTTTTCCCTTGCTCTTCTGTCAAAGGATCAGACACAGTTTTGCACTTGGGCTCTTATCACAATGCATTTGAGTGTTTTTTTTTTAAAAATCCCATTTCTTTTCTCCCCAGCCCACGGCTTGTGATTTGATCACCGTGAAACACAACCCTTCACGGTCTCTCCGGTTCATGTCCGATGAAGTAAAACAAGAGCCAGACGTGTTTCGGAAGTCGGTGGTAAGTAACTTGAGGTCAACCAGTTGTTTTTTTTATGGGGAAAGAGCGGGGGAGTTGGTAGCTCTTTCACAAGCACGATGGGCCGAATGGCCTCCTTCTGTGCTGTAAGATTCGATGATTCTCTCTAAGTCCGTTACATTGCTGTCCATCTACCTACTACCAGAGTTAACAATTGCGATCTTTAAGAATTCCGCTTCGCGTCCATTTCCGTTTTGCGTCTTTCTTATGAGCTGTCGGATCAATTTCACGTTCATTTGACAGGGAAACCAAATGATGGTGTTGATGGACATCTGAGCTGGTTTCATTATTTGGAGCAAAAGTGGGACGTAAATAACTTGTAAAACGTAGACAATGTACCAATCTTTTCTGGTGAGATAAAAATACTCATTTACTGGTCTTTGAGTTTTGAAGGTTGAGGGGTGATCTGATTGAGGTGTTTAAAATGATAAAGGGATTCGATAAAGAGAAATTATTTCCTCTGATTGGGGTAATCCAAAACAAGGGGATTTATATTAAAATTAGAGCTAGGTAGTGGAAATCTGGAGTCCCAACTCCACACATCTGAATTGCAGAAGTTGCGAAATTTATGCAGCCAGAAAGTGAAATTTCTGGCTGCACTGTTTCACCATTGCACTATTTCAAATTGAAAGTACTTAAAAAGAAAAACATTTGCAGGGCTACAGGGTAAGAGCAGGGGAGTGGGACTAGTTAGTAGCTCTTTCAAAGAGCCAGCACAGGCAGGATGGACCGAATGGCCTCCCCCTGTGCAGTAATATTCTATGATTCTGCCCCTGGGAAAAGTTTCAAAAAAATGTCCTTTTCCATTTTGCACAGGTAGATGGCAGGTAGGTTCATTGCTCTCATTCTGGAAGGAGAACTTTGAAGTATAATGTATTTTGCCAGCATGAGATCGCTCTCTCTCTCTCCTCATTATCTGCAGCCCGCCAAGCTGATCCGGCTTCTAATTTATTACGGTTTATTTCCTGCTAGTGTTTGTTGCATCAACAGTGCCACGAAGGTTTATTAAAAATTAATATTCTTAATTGGAGGAAGGAGCGTTTTGCAGATAGATCACTTTTTTTATTAAAAAAAGCCCACACGACAACATTCCAGTTATTCGGTACCTTGTGCTGAACCAGGGAAAGCTGAGCTGAGCTGAATATGGACAGTGATAATTCCTCCTCCACAGACAACCATACAGACATACATACACATACAGAAACTCACCAGAGACACTCTCATACATACAATGCAGCACATCCCTGGGTGCCTAACTCTATTGGAAATTTCCCTCGAGCGCATCGCAAAGCACTGGAGTCCATATCGTTTTCGAGCACATGAGCAAATGTAGAAATAAGAAATAATCCCATAGTCCCTACGTCTCGCTCCACCACACCCCCGTTGCCTTCTTCAAGTCCCATCTCAAGACTCTCCTCTTTGACCGCACCTTTGGTCACCCTCCTACCCCTACCCTCCCTGCCCTCCACCCCTCCTGTTCCCAATCACCAGCTCTTGTCCAAATCCTTGGCTGTCCAGCGCCTTGGGTCATTCTCCCTGATGTGAAAGGTGCCGTGTAAATGTGATTTGTTGTTGTTGATGTTGTGATTAAATTGTAATTGTAATCACAGTGAACCTTCCTCAACACCAGAGCAAGAGAGAGGGTTAAAAGTTGCAAAGAGGCAATTTCGGGACAGACACCAGGATGTATTTCTTTACCCAGATGCTACCTGACAAGTGGTACAGGGTTGCCAGGAATAGTGATTGAGGTCAGAACACTGGACTCATTTGGTGTAAAGCTTGATGCTGTGATGGGCAAGACAGTAGGCAGAGGGGTTTCTGGAGGGATGAGATCAGATGGGCCGAAGGGTCTCCAACAAGTGTTTAACTGTAATTTAGACCCCACATTCAGTGTGATATCTTCTGTAACGTGGAAGGAGTGAGCGACCAGGAAGTAACTGCTATCAGACATTGTTACACTTGACTCAATTGCAACAGGAAATAAAAATGAATTGTAAGAACAAACATAGTTTGGGAGTGGTGGGGGGGGTGGGGGGGTGGGGGGGCGGTAACAGGACTTTGTGAACACCTTGTACATCACTCTGATCCTGAACTCCTCTCCAAAGGGAACAGGGATCCTGCAGATTGATGGGAGGGGATATTCCGAGGGGAATATACCTTATTGAGGAATCCCGTCAAGAAATACCACAAACTAGACCACCCACCCCAGCCCTGCCAAAGGTGGTCTGTCTCGAGGAGTTTTTTTTTTCTCTCTTAGTTTCCAGTGACTTTCAAGCCCGGCTGAAAAAAGGGACTCAGTGTCTTTATCGTAGTAATCTCATTAAGGTTGAACGCCAGTCGGTTAGGGGCCAAGTTGTCAGATTTTTCACCAGGAACACCAGCGGAGTGAATGCCGTCTCTCACACTGATAGCCCCCTCGGGAACTGTTAACCCTTCAAACCCCACCCCCCCCACAACTCGTCTCATCCAGCTGACACTCCCGAAGTGACATTAAAATGCAAGAGGAGACCTGGGTCTGATTTTGATATTAATCTCTGTTGATGGTTTCCGAGGTATTTCATTTCAAAATGATGTACTCATTAAATCATCTCCTCATCACTGGGCAGCCACAATAGATTGGGAAACAGGAAGTGATCCCCTAAGCAGAGTCTTGAGCCGAGAGCGAGCTCACTTCACACCAGCCGTCCTTCCGTCATGTCCATTTTCCTTATGCACAAATAATAATAATAATCCTTACTTTTGATATCAGGTCTTTTCACCTCGTTGAGATGTCTCAAAGCGCTTCACAGGATATATTGTAAAGTGAACCGTAACTTTTGTGGGCAAAACGCAGCAGCCAATTGTGCACAGCTGTGTCCCACAGACAGTCGTGGCTTGAGTGACCACATTATTATTATTATTTTTTGGAGGGATTATTACGTCCAGAAAGTGATCAGCCCATCGACAACAACCGTTGTCCTACTTACTGCTAGGTAAACAGAGGGGCGTGGAGTAAGGAAACTTGCCTAAGGTTTCGCCCTGCCCGGGAATTGAACCCGAGTCCTCTCTTGCGATGCGAGGGCTGTAATCAATACGCTACAGGACTCCACATATAATGATAATAATGTAATCCTTACATTTGGTACAGCAACTTTCACATCAAGAAATGCTTCACAGGATTTGCTGTGAAGTGGAGTGACTGTCTGTTTCGTGCGTGAACCCGCCATCCAATTTTGTATACATGAAGTGGATAGTCAGTTTTATCTGGGGGTATTATTGTTGGCTGAAACACCGGGAGAGAGAAACTCCCTTCTCTTCAAATAGCTACAAGGGATCTTTAACGTCCACCTGAACAGGTAGGTAGGACCTCAGTTTAACGTCTAATCCGAAGGACGGCACCTCTGACAATGCAGCCCCCACCCCACCCACCCCCCAGCATAAGAAACGAGTGGACACTAGAAAGGAAAATTCACATGAAATTTCACACTGTCTCAGTCTTCAGACTGTTGCGTTACAATTTAAGATCAGGCAGAATTTTCGGAAACAAAAATGTTGTTTCATTCTGCAGCAAATGAGTAAAAGACCCTCCCTCGCCCTTTCTCTCTCTCTCTCTCTTTCTCTCTCTCCCCCTCCCTCCCTGCGTTGCAATTGGAAGTTAATTAAAACAATAAATTAATGACATAGATTTTATTAGAAGACCCCCTGATGTGGTTCCTAATTTTAGACAGATTTCACTGCACTCACCGAGAACGGACCAAGGTTTACTTAAAACACAAATTAAAACTTTAATCTTTTAAGAACTCGGGGTCGTAATTTTAAATGTGGTCCATCAGTTCTGCACTTTGATGTGATAGCGTTTTTACTGCTAGTTCTACGGAGGAGGTTTAAAGGACAGATTGAAATCTATTTGTGTCACATTCCTAACAAGGGTTCTTCCAATTGTGCGTTGAAACGTTCTTTGGCAGATGGATTAAATAACAAATAAGCGACAAATAATCCTCCCCTTTTGGTACACAGCGTCTCACTCAAAGTGCTTCACGGGATGAGTGTAGTGACTGTGTATTCTGCAGGCGAGCCCAGCCACCAGTTTGCGCACGGCAGCGTCTCACAAACAGCCATGAAGTGAACAGGCATCACGGCTTTGAGTGTGGCTGCCTGATGAACCAGTCCTCTGACTGTACTTGTGATGGGTTCCTGACGAGATGAGTTGGGTTCCTAAGAGAGGAATCTGATGCCCCGTCTCCGTAGGTGCCAGTACCAGAAACTGAGCACGGAGCAGTGCTCAGCAACAACAACAACAGCTTGCATTTATATAGCGTCCTTCACCCCGGAGCACTTAGTGCTGGGAATGTTAGTAACAGAATGAAAGTGCCTGGTGGAGGATGGGAAGGTCCCTCAACAGCAGAATTGGTATGGATATGGAAATGGGTTTGAGAACAGATATGAGTATAATAGGTGTGAGTATGACAGTAGGTATGAGATTGAGAGTGAGAATGGAAATGGAAATGGGTAAGGCATTATCGCGGGCAATATCATATCATTCTTTGACGTCGAGATTTTTCCATTCAATTACACGTCACAAAAGAGTGTGCGTCTGATACAATCTCCACCCAACCCCAGTCAGCAAAGCCAGAAGTGTCCACATTACGTGCATCCTTAAAAGGCCCGAACACATGCTCTGGCGTGGTGGAGCAGTGTGTTAATGCCATCAGAGGGTGGGACACGGGGGAAAATGAGAGGGCAAATCAAGCCAAGATGGACTCGGACATCTCCGAGGTATGGCTTACAAGAAACAGATGTTGGACAGCAAGGGACTTGGCAAAGAAAAATAAAGTGACAGGTTTAAGGGGAAGATGGTTGGATAGTGGAGGAAAGGGGGGGAATGATAATAATCCTTTTGTTTGATATAGCGCCTTATCACATTGTTGAGACATCTCAAAGCGCCTCATGGGATATACCATAAAGTGCATTTGGCTGTGTATTTTGTGTGCGAAACTTGGTAG